GAATATGAATTAGTTTGGGCCAAATTTGGAGCCCAACCAGTGACCCGTAAGGACGGGCGGTGGCACTGCCCAGCACCCGAAAGTTCGGGCAGTGGCACCACCACCGACAGGCAGTGGCACCGCTAGTAAACGGTTTGAAACTTACAAGTTTCAATCCACTAATTCACACACCCCCCACTAATCCACTAATCCTAACAGACCACCTGGGAGATTAGGTCACCAGGCGATGCCACCGTCGCTTGTGACTTCAGGTGCTGAATGAGCTATTTCAACTGGCCCAATTCAGCCTTGTTAAGGACCCAATAAACCCCTAACTGAGTTAGTTGGATTACCTCCCAATCCTAACTCAACTTAAGTTTTAACTACAATAATTAAGACATTTAACAAAGCATTTTTGTTTCGGTATGTCAATTGTTCTTTCGGCGAGCTTCTAGCGAACTTTTGATGATCTCTCAGCAATGTTTCGGCGGACTCCCGGTAAGCTCTTGGACTTCTCGGTCAGTTCCGGTAGAAATTTCGACAAATGTCCGAACTTCCAACGAACTCTCGAACTCCCAATGAAGTCTCGATCTTGACTCCGACACAACATTTACTTTATGTCTTACTGCTATCATAGTTAATCCTACACACTTTTCTCAACATATAGATTAGATCAAACAATTTATAATTGATTTCATCATCAAAATATGGGATTCAACACATGCCACCATAGCGCATGCTACTGCAAATGACACTCGCTCCGATTCCGACAAGTACTACCATACCTTGTAAGCTATCTCTCACGTGAAACATAACATCACAAAGACGGAGAGCAAGCATGAAAAAAGTGGTTGAACTAGTCCATGTAGCCCTTTTGCACCCACTCGCTCTGCCCGACCAACTTGTCGAGAAAGAGGAAGCGGTGGAGGCCATAGCAACGGATGAAGGCGGAGTTGTGTTAGTTTCCTCTTTGTGAAGAACTCTGTGTTCTCTGGTAGAAACTAAGTTCTCAACTCTCGCTTTAAGTCCTCCCATGTGTCCACCTGATACCGACCTTGTTGGATCTCCTCTCAACGGGTTCGCCACTAAAGTTTTGCATCCTCATTCAAATATTTGGTTGCTATCGAAACTTTGATATCTTCAAAATCAGGCCTCATAGCTCGAAAGTATTGTTCCATGTCGAACAGAAAATTCTCGAGCTCTTTAGTATCTCAAGCACCTCCATAATAATGCAGCTCGAGTACCCTTAAGTTTTATGGTGGCGCAACGCAGGTGTTGCTTCCTCCTGCATTCAGTGCCCTTGTGAGCATGGTCACCCTAGAAGTGAGTTCTGCCACAATATCCTGTAGATGTTGCACGGAGTCTTTGGTATCATCTGACAGTTGATCGACTAGAGCCTCGACCTTATCAATTCGGGATTCAGTTTCTTTTTATAAGCACTCTACCCCAAGTAGCCTTCGCTAGCCTTGGTAGAGTTCTTCCAAGCTCGCTTCAAGAACATCCAAGCGGGTTTCCGCTGTTGTGAGTCTCTCCTTATGGCTCTTCTTCCCAATTGGCGCTCTAGATTGTGCCTCATCCGCTCGTGGAGAGTAGCCAATTTCTCTCTCATCATGTTCACTGCCACGATCCTCCAAAGTGGCTCCAACAACATGAGAGCGAGTTTGCATTGCAGCCCACCTACGACAGCTTGGGGCAAAGGTCCGGCTTGCCTCGCCTTACTCGATTCGCCACAATGCTTTGCCATGGCAAAATTGTAAAGTTTCTTCACTGCTTGCTCGAATTGCTTGCCCGCTCTAATACTACAATGTCACATACTTAGCTAGAATTTCCTAAGTCATGAGGCACCCTTGCGGCAAAGACATGGACTTAGCTTGAGTTGCCTAAGCCATAACGCACCCTTACACTAACTTCTCGGACTTAGCTGGGATTGCCTAAGTCATGGGGCGCCCTTGCGACATATGCATCCGCAAAGTTCAGCCTAGTTGCAACCTTGTACAGGCCCCGAAGGACCTGTAAATAGAAAGTTGATTAGATTGAAAATGAGCAACGAACAAGTCCCGATGTCTCGCGAAGAGGGAAACTTTATAAGCAATTTAGTAAGTACCTTATGTGTACAGGAGAAAAGAGAGGAAGAAGAAAAACCATAATGTTGCATGCCACTGTGAATGTCACTTGCTCCGATTCCGACAAGTACTACTATACCTTATAAGCCATCTCTCTCGTGAAGCACAACATCACAAAGACAAAGATCAAGTAGAAAAGAGTGGTTGAATTGGTCCATGTAGCCCTCCTGCACCCACTCGCTCTCCCTGACCAGCTTGTCGAGGAAGAGGAAGCGATGGAGGCTATAGCAACGGATGAAGGCGGAGAGGCAGAGGTAGGAGAGGTTGGAGGCGGAAGTGAGGGAGTGCTGAATTACCACGTTGTAGGCACGACGGAAGGGGGCACATGAGACGATGAAGTGAGAGGAGGTGGGGACGAAGGCACCTAGGAGGAGGAAAAGGGTTCAAGAGATCACTGCATGCCTAATGTCGGACTAGTCGATGCACATTCACCTGAGACAGGGTCGGAGACTCTTGAGCTCATCGTCAATGTGGGAGAGGCTGCATACATATGATGCCCTGCTAGATAGTAATGACATGGTGCCGCTGTTGGTGGTTGCTTCCATGACGACGTCTCCTCCCGCCATTGATGAAGGTCTCAATTTTTTTTTAAACTTAAATTATGTATATCATTATATTAATAATTTATTATGAGCCAGCATATCATGTAAGCAGACCGTAAAGTGTGTTAACTTAGACTTCACGATAGGAGCCTATATATTATATTTTTAAAATATTAAATTTATTTTAGATATAACTAAATCATAAAATTTAAAGAGGTTTATGTCCAAAATCATAAGAGTTAAAATAGATCTTAATTTTATTTTATAATATTTTATTGGAGATGTCGAGAATACTATAAACTTATTTAATAAAAGATCATAACTGACATGCAAGTCATGTCAAATCTTCCTTATGTAAACTTCACCTGTATATATAAACAAAAATGGTAGCAATCATGAGAAAACTCTCTTTTTGAAATTTTTTTAGGATATAAACAACAAGTGATCCCAGTTTTCATATTTAGTTGGTCCCCCACATTTTTATAAACCCTAGGAATACTCCTGTCATTACAGTAGAGTAACTCCTCTTTATGATAGAGTGATTATAGAGTAAATCAGGTCATCGATTTTAGGCCGATCATATGACGAATCGATCCAATTCTTTTATTATAGTGCTCTTAAATAGACATATAATACTTTCCAAAACACTATAAATCTGTTCAAAAAATACTCTAATCGACATGGAAGTTTCTATATTTGTTTATTTTTATTTCTAAACTAATAAGGATATGTATTTGGAATCTATTTTTTTATATGAGTTAAATTTTATTGGGTTTTGAGTCCATTTATTTTAGTTATAATATTTTTGAATAGACTTGTAATATTTTATAATATTTTGATGGAGATACCAATAATACTATAAGCTTATTTTAAAAAAAAAATCACATAGAAGTCTTCCTTATTTGGTTGTTCATGTTCATAAACTAATAACTAATAAGGATAAGGGGATTACTATTGACAATCATCTTATTTTGTAAAATCATCTAAAAATAATAAAATATAATTGTATTAAAAATAATTTTTTAATTACTAATCATATCCTTATTTTCCACAACCCCTCAATTGACTCACTCATAATATGATATCTTTTGAGTCAACCTAGATTGACATAGAAGATAATATATTTCGAGCTATTGTAGAAATATTTTAAATATCATCTTCCAGTTGAATTAAGTAATAGGTTGAGGACATTTACATATATTTGCATACGAGTATCCTAGAAATATTTAAAAAATTTAAAATTAGATTATAGATAGCAAAAAAAAGAATTGTCAATATATTCTTCAAACAATAATTATTTGAAATCATTTTTTTTTTCATATAAATTGGTCTCTATTTGGTTTTGAGATAAGTTTACATTATTTGGTGGATGTGTCAAAAAAATATTAAAAAATAAATGATACAAAAGTCTCCCTATTTGATTGTTGTTATTCCTAAATCAATAAGGATGATTAGTTGAAATTTTATTTTTATATATAAGCTAGTTTATATCAGGTTTTGAATCAATTTGTCTCACTTATAATATTTTTAAATAAACTTATAGTGTTTTGGTGGAGATATCAAAATTACTATAATCCTATTCAAAAATATGTCATAGGGTGTTCGAATAGAAATATACATATAAGGTGTTCAAATAGAAAAATATATATGTATTAAAAAACATTTCAAAATTACATAAGATATTAGGGTTCATCGACCTGTATCATAGCGTGTTGGGATAGAAAAATATAATTGATCATGTTGGAAGTATTTTAAAAATTATAAAATGATGAATATACCCCCTTAGAAAATATGGAAGGAGAATTTTATTGATAAATTTTTTTACTATTTATAATCACATTCTAAAAACTTTTAATAATTATAAAATATTCCTCTAAATACTCTCAACTTATTATTTAATTCCAACAAACTTATATTAGTCGAATATCTTTCATTTTTTATGATTAAAATGATAGAAAAGATGGATAATCAAATAGAACAATTTGAATATAGATGAGAATGTCAGAAATAATTTTTTATGTTTGTTAAATCGATTTAATATTTTTTAGATTTAAGACGTCAGATTTAGATTCAAAAAGATAATATTCCTAATATTTTCAGAAAGATGTAATCTTTTGGATCAATCTGTATAAACCTAAAAGACGGACGTCTGGACCAATTGAGAGGTTGTGAAAAATAAATATATGATTAGTAATAAAAAAAATTATTTAATAAAATTATATTTTATTATTTTTAAAATAATTATATGAAGCAATGGATCGTAAATAGAAAAAAAAAAAGAAAAGTTGCGAATTGCAGCAATTTCCAGTATAAAAAACGTACCAAACTAAATAAGAGTTTTTTACTTGAAAAGGCCGAACAATAATCCCATTAACCGATTTCTATGCTTGCCGCCTAATTCGAACTTATTTTGCCTCCAAATCACCTTACAATCATTCTCATCATCGAGGAACTCAAACCCTAAACCACGTCGATCCTGTCCAATGGCGCTCCCCTTCTCCCATTCCATCCCCTCCCCCGTCTCCCTCCACCCAATGCCCTCGCATTTGGCCGCGGACGCGCCCGCCGTCCCCGTCCTCCCCCGCTCGACCGACCACCACCACCACAAGCTCGTCATCTCGGGGGGTGGCCACCTCTCCGGCCACGTCCCCATCAGCGGCTCCAAGAACTCCGCCCTCGCCGTGCTGGCCGGCGCCCTCTGCTGCTCCGGCGGCGCCGTGGAGGTCCGGGGCGTGCCCGACATCTCCGACGCCCGCGCGATGGTGGCGATCCTCCGTTCCCTGGGGGCGCAGGTGCAGGAAAGGGGCGGCGGGGAGTTGGCGGTGGACTCCACCGCGCTGAGCTCGGCGGAGCCGGCAGCGGACGAGGTCAGGAAGATCCGGGCGGGGTTCTTTGTGCTGGGCCCCCTGGTCGCGCGGCTTGGGGAGGCGGCAGTCGCTCTGCCGGGCGGGTGCAGCATCGGAGCGCGCCCTGTTGATCTCTACCTCCGTGGCCTCTCCGCTCTCGGCGCTGTCGTGGAACTGAGTTAAGTCAATTCTTGGCTTTGCCTTCGTGATTACCTATAGCTGCTGTGTTTCATAGCACTTCGAGGGAGGATTGCCACAATTCACATCAACAAGAAAATAAATGAAATCAAGAACGAAATCCCAAACCATTTCTAAGCCATTAAGCATCTGACATGCGTTTTTGCACTTGAACAGGCATGGGAAAGTGCATGTGAAGGCAGCAAATGGCAGAGGACTCACCGGAGGACGGTTCCATCTCGATTACCCGAGTGTTGGCGCAAGTGAAACCCTCATGATGGCGGCTTCAATGGCAGAGGGAGTGTCCGTGCTCACCAACGTAGCTCAGGTTCCAACTCTCAAAACACATCAAGTTTTCGTTGTATCTCCCGACTAAAATAGGCTACTACTCGTTCCTTCTCCAGGAACCCGAAGTGGCAGACCTCGCTCGGTTCCTCGTCGCCTGCGGGGCGCAGATCAAAGGGGTTGGCACTCGCACGCTTGTCATCGACGGTAGAAGGTCGTTGCATGGAGCTCAGTTCACCGTGATACCGGACAGAATAGAAACCGGCACTTTCATGGTTGCAGCAGCAATTACCCGATCTTGTGTTTCGTTGTCCCCTGTCATCCCTTGTCATCTAACCATCATCATCGACAAGCTCTCTGCGGTTGGCTGTAGGATTTCGCAGAAGGGAGATGGCATTCTTGAGGTTGGGGAAATCTGGGTCTGCTGCTGCTCGTCTCTCTCCATGCTTATGCCTGATGTTTTGAGGCATAACTACTTGCAGGTTTCAGCTGCGACGGCAACCGCCGGTGGTGATCTTCGAGGGTTGTATCTCAAGACATTGCCTTATCCAGGCTTTCCTACGGATCTTCAACCTCAGTTCATGGCCTTGTTGACGACTTGTGGTGGACCAAGCATCGTTGAAGAATCTGTTTTTGAGAACCGAATGCACCACGGTATGCTTATTCTTGCATTGTTCTCTTCGTTTTACCAGCATTAAATTCACACACCTTTCATGTAGCGCATGGTGTATCTTGAGCGTCTCCGTTCTCATCTTACCACTTGGATTTCTTCTCTTGTCAATCCAATTGGTTTGTTCTTGAATTCCAAATTTGATTTATTTTCTCTGTTTTAACAACTTCATATCGAAGAAAAACAACTCTATAATGCAATTAAAATGGCTTGTTGTTACCTACAAATTTGGCTTTCCTTTTCTTTGGTTCTCATTTTGCAGTGAAGGAGTTGCAAAAGCTGGGTGCCAGAATAGAAGTTCATGGGAGGTCAGCCTTTGTTAAAGGGAGAACAACACAAAGGAAGTATGTTTGATTCCAGCATTTTAATGTCCATGTTCATAAACTTATGCTGAGAATGCACCTGGAACATATGTTGCTTAGCCTCTTCCCTTCCAGTGTTGCTCTTTCTGGTTCAAAAGTTGAAGCAGCTGATTTGAGGGGTGGAGCTGCCCTGGTTCTAGCGGGAATGGCCGCGAGAGGAGTCACAGAAGTTGTGGGTGTCCATCATATCGATAGAGGCTATGAGAACTTTGAAGCGAAGCTTCTCAACCTGGGAGCAGATATAAGTAGAGAGGTGATCTGCTAACACAATTGTATGTTGAGATTTAGTAGTCAAGTAACTAAAATTGTCATAATTTGTATAACCACGACTTCCTGATATCTGTAAGCTACTACGACCTGTTTAACTTAGAATCTGTTACTTGGAAAAGGGTTTCTCATATAGAGTGGTGTACAATTCCATTCTTCTCAATAGTGCATTTTGTTCTTATGTCAAGGGAAATAGATGAATGCATTCCAGTTTCAAAGTAGGGTCACCATGACCACCGATTAAAAGACAATACCAAGTAATAAAAGAAAAGGGGTTAAAAGTACTCTGCAAGCATAAAAGGTATGTCGACAGGTTCTCTAAAAGTGCATGACGGAGAGGAAGTTGGGACGAACCAAAGCATTCACAAAGTATGGTCACCATGACCATAAATTCTCTCCCTTGATCTAATTATAGATAGCTATCTGCAGAAAAGCAAAAGCAAAGCACATATTCAGATTAATTTTTTTAGCTGTGCTCTTAACTATCAAAGTCTCCTAGAAATACATTAAACAGCTCTGATCTCAGTAAAGATTTATCATCAATAATGACTTTGTGCTACCACATTCTATCATGGAAAATACTTTTTTTTTTTAAATGCAGCTCCTAAAGTAGCAAAAAAATTCAGCTTTTTTTTTATTATGAATCTTAAGGCAACTATAAAGAACGATACTCGCAAGTCCACATGACTGTTGTCTCTGAAGAGCACATCAAAGACTTTATATCATGCAATACACCAATGATTAATCGTCATCAAAAGCCAAAAGAAACATTCATGGTATAACTTAGAAAGAATCACAGCAGTTCTGGAACATGATTTATTTAGACAACAAATGCGTCATGAACTTATCCGACAGCAAAAGGAAATATTAGATTAAGGAGCAAAATAATGATATGAATTACTATTGTGAAAGTTTGCATGTAATATGCAATGATGATGGAATGCCACAAGCAAGCCACACAAATATGCCAAAGGAACAGAATGCCAGTCAGCAACAAAGATGTGTGACAAGAGAACTAAATTGTTTTCCTTCAGCTTGATTAAGATAGAATGTGACAAGATATCAGACATCTGTTTTTTTTCTGTTTTTTAGCTCACTCTTCATGTACTTGTGTTCCTCGTATAGAAGAAGAACACATGAGAAGTCACGTGGAAACCAGCTTAGACTTAAAGTTCCTTCAAAAGTTCAGATTCAATTATAAATGTAACCTCCATTCTACTTAAATTTCGGGAAAATAAGATCTATTAGCAAAAGGGATTGGATCATTGGAAGGCCACAGATGCCTTCTAGATATGGCAAGAAATAAATCGAAATAACCTATACTAAAAAAGCAAAGCCATCAATTTTGAGAATGAGTTGACGACACATTACCGAAGAGAATTGGTGCAATAAAAGACTTGAAGAATTAAGCCGTAAATTCAGATTAGGCAGATGACGAGGAACAAAAGACTCATTAGAATTCAAACTGGGTCCGGTTTGTCTTCAGATCAACCAAATTTACTCGTACCGAGTCCAGAAAAGATTCTTCTATCTTTATTCTTGTAGTTGCACAACTTAAAAAAAAGATCCCTCATTACATTCAAGTTCAAGCTGCTCCCCTATTGTCATCCTAGAAAGTAGGCAGCTGGTTTTCACACGCATTATCCATTTTCAAGAGCCCCAAGTTGCATAAGTAGGCACAACTAAAAGGAAATATTATGCATGAAAGTATCTAACTGCTAAATTCGACATGAGTTCCCAAGTATATATAGCAGTCGAAACAGAATGTTGTTGGCTTAGGAAAAAAACAGTCGACTATATTTGATGGAGTTGTGAATTCATAGCCAGTGAGTGAGTTCTCTTTATGGATGAGAATGATGCCAGTGATGATATTTATTTTACAAAGATTTATCATCCAAGCTCTAACAATTTAATTTACCTTTCTCATTCCTCCCATAGAATAGCAGGTTTTGGGCTCTGTCAATATTTCCTAGTGACTTGACATCATACGAAAATGAGATTAATACAAAGTTGAAGAAAAGAGCTACCAATATATCAATCAGTATACCAAACAAGTTCATGGAAGGCATGAAGTATGATTTTGTATCGCAGATTGAAATAGCAAACCAAATCAGTGGAAACAAATTCAACTTTTACTGCAGCAGAAAAAAGAAGAGATCAGATCTCTCACCAGTATGTGATTGCCTGGAACGCTTGATCTTTGCAAGCTGCACTTGCGAATCCACTATGATCTCCATCTTCTGTAACTCCAGCGCCTTAACAAACTCCATCCGCTGCTCCTCCAGCTCCATCATCTGTCTCTGCTTTGCTTCCTCCACCCTCTCATAGATCTCCGCAAACCTCACGATCGCCCTAGCCAGTTCCCGGATCCCGTTGCCCTCCCCTTCCCTCCCCCTCTTCCACCCCGTTTCTGATCTCGACGACGATCTCGACAGCGATCCCGACCCCTCATCCTTGTCCTTCGCCGCGGCCGCACGCCTGAAGAACGGGCTATCCACCGGGAACGACGTGGCGGCGGCGGTAGACTGCTTCTTCCTCGGCTCCGCCGGGCCCACGGCGGTGGCGGCGGACAAGGATGAGCCCTTGCGGTGGAAAGGGAGCGGCAGGGCGAGAGACAGCGAGGCGGAGGGCTTCTTCGGAGCGGCCGGGGCCGGGGCCGGGGAGGATCCCACGAGGGCGTCGAGGCGGGAGAAGAAGGGCCACTGGCTCTCGGCGCGGGCGGCGATCCGGGCCTTCTCGACCTTGTGCTTCTTCTTGAGGGTGTCGATGCGGTTTTTGCACTGGATGTCGGTGCGGGGCGGGCGGCGTCCGGCGCCGCGGCGGGAGTTGACGGCGTCGGCGACCTCCTGCCAGTGCTTCTGCCGGAGGTTCCCGCGGTTGAGTTCGATGTAGCGGTCGCCCCAGGCGTCCACCAGCGCCGACGTCTCCCCCTCGCTCCAGCAGTCCTCCCGGTATAGCACCGCCAGGTTCGGTGGCCTCGTCGGCGCCGCTTCCCTCCCTTCCATCTTCCCGATCCCAAACCCCAATTCCCTTCTCTCTCGCGCGCGCTGGACTATTATGTAGTCGACGTCGATAGCGTTAGGGTTTGACGGCGGCAGGTGGGGCAAGTAAAGAGGCGGCGAAAGGCGCCGGCGAACGAAGGCGGGGACCACGTGAGGGGTACGTGAACGGGGGGCCGCCGAGGATCAAGCGCGTACGCCGACGTTGGCGCTTCACGAGGGGTCGGGGGCTGGGAGAGGGCGGGGCCCACAGGGACGGAGCATCACCGCCGTTGGTTTCGGAACCCGCGCGAGGATATTTGATCGACGGCGAAACGGACGAGCACGAGTTTTCGTTGCTGGAGTCGTGGTAAGTTTTTATCGTTGTCAGTTTCGTCCCATTCATTCCCGTGCGGTGTATTGGGCGGTTCAAAAAGCGGCGAAGGCCCTGTCTTTTCTTCTCTAGTGAGACAAGCCCCGTGAGAGTTTCTTTGTCGAGCGATGGGGGAAACCCCATCGGCCCCGCTCCCTCACGATCCCTTCCCCTCGCTCGGTCCGTTCTTCCGTTGCTGCCACCCCTTCCTTTGGGCTTTCCACCTTAATCCTCCGGAGGTTTCTCCCCCTTCCTCAGCATCAGATCCTAGAACCAAGCAGTCCTCTGCAGGGCCCGTACTCGAGATTTTGGCTCAAATGATTTCGAATTTGTTTTTTATAACTCGTCTGATTCTTTTCAATCGATATTTTTTTATAATAAAATTGAAGTTTTTTTTTTTTTGTCGATTTTATCAAAATTGATGCTGAATCACTTGTGTCCTATAAAAATTTAATCTTGTTGGTCGTTTCTTAGGAAAGCCGCCTCCTCCTCTTGAAGGTTCATTTTATGATTAAATCGTTTGTGAAAGTATTTTTCGTCTTGAAGGTTCTCGATTTAATACTTGATTTTTATTTGATTAAATTTTTCATTAAGACAGAGGTCGTCCAAATTCTAACAGATTGGCCATGATATTTCAAGGGGGGTTTTTCAAAATAGGTAAAGTCCGAGGCCTACTTTATGGTGGATTCTACACAGTTTGTTGGGTTAACATTTTTGATCTCCTTATATTGGACCTGTAACTGCTTCCATTCAATTGGCATTTTGCTTTTCACTTGGTCATCCACTCATCTTGTCATTAGCTCAAGTGTCCTAATCATCTCACTGTCAATTATTTTTCTCCTATATCCCTTTGCAATGCCAATTAAAAGGTTTTGACTAAGATATCACTAATAGATTAAAACCTTTGCTACCAAACATTTTCTCCAAAGAGCATACTGTCTTTCTTCCTAGTCAGAGTATTCAAGAGATTACACATTCGATGTATAACTCTAAAGAAAAAAAATCCTCTCGTGAATGTTAAAATTGATATGGAGAAGGTTTACTGTAATACCGGACTCCTAATTTCATACATACCATAAATCCGTCATTAAAATAGGAAGCAACTTTTCAATTTACTATTATTATAAATAATTATATAGTAGAAAAATAGATAATTTTGAAATATGTTAACTTGCAAAATAAAATGATAGAATTTGTCTTATACATAGTAGTGCTTGAGAGTTGTACAGAGTTATAAACACATAACTGAAAGAAAAAACATACATGTATATCGTATTTAAAATTTATATACAAAAAATACCCATAAATTATTATTTATATCTATGTTGGTATGAGCTTGCACCTTCTCATCTCCTTACTTATGGGTAGGGTACTAGTGTCTTTAGTTTTATTTAGGTGAGTATGTACCATGTGTATAATATTTTAAAATCATATGCATAAAATATTTAATGATGATCATATCTTTTTAAGATCACTCTAGCAATGTAAAATATTATAAAAGATGCATAATAAAGAGGTAACCTTCTACTTCAATATATATATATATATATATATATATATATATATATATATATATATAT